TAAATCAAAAGGTATGCTAAATAGAATATACTGTATTTACAATATCAATAATATCAATTCAAAAAAAAACTTCCATTCTCTTTTATCTTTTCAATATCAATGGTATTAGTTATTAGTTCAAAACAAAGAGAGCTTAAACTTCCACAAGTTTTCCGAAAAAAAATTTGAATTTATTAAGGACGAATCTGATATTCCCGAGAAATTCCTAGCCCAACATAATTCTATTCGACATAATTTAAGCTTAATTGTTTTGTTAAATGCCCCAAACAACTTGGAAATCCAGGTATCGGAAATTATTGGGCACTTGATTATTCTGTAGAAGATATGTTTGTTAATGGAAGTTTTTTATGAAGAAGAAAGAACAATTTTCTTCTTATAAATTTATTTAAAATATAAATTTAACAATAAAAGACCAAAAGAAATTTGTTAAAACATTACTCTGGGCTTAAAAATTGAAAAACAGCAATGATAAACTGTTATTTTTATAAAAAAAATGTCATATGCATTGAAATATTGTTTATTTTCTAAAAATACTTACAAACAAATAATATAAAAATAAAATTGCTAAAAATTCAAAAATATTATAAAAAAAGATTTTTAATAATATGACCGAAGAAAAATTAAATTTACTCGAGAATAGAAACTATGAATTTCAGTTATTATTATTTAGTAATTATTATACAATATCTATTAATTGAAAATGATCATTTTTAAATAAAATACTAGGATTTGACTCGACTCTATGTAATTTTTTTATTGTGTTATCTAGGCAATAAAATTAAAGCCTTAATGTACAATCTATTCTCCAAGAGTAAAAAAATTTTTAAAAAGAATAAAATATTAATGCAACATTGCATCAGAGAATAATTAAAAATTGGAGTTTGATTTTCAAAAACAGTTAATTACTTTTTTTTTCTTTTTTTTTAATTACAATAATGTATAAGCTATAACAGTATAATTTAAAGAGAGCTAATTTTGACTAAGGAAAAATTTTAAGTAAAGGAAGAATAATATAAACACTCACATTAACATAAAAGTGAAACGCATCAAAAATCCTTTATTTTCTTACTGATTTTCCTATCAGAATAATTGAATTTTTTGAATCGAAATTATTAAAACCGAAGTGTTATAAAACTCAATTATGAGACATTGACATTATGATAAAAATATGTCTTGCTTAATGAAGTTTGTAAATTAAAAGAGGGAAATTTAAAAAAAAATTCACATAAATTAAGTTTTTTTTATATATATTAATTTTGTCTCTTTTTCTGATTTTTTTAGCATATCTTTAGTATTACAGAGAAAAATATTAAATTTATTAAAACTAATAATAATATAGTTTCAAAGTTTAATTTAAGCAACATATTTTTTAAAATAGATAAATATAAAAACAACTCTAATCCTTTCTTTGTTTTTTCTTTATTTTTGTTATTACGACTAACCCTTTTTTTTAATTAATCCGAAATTTTAATAAAGAGAAGATTTGAGTAGTTTTTATAACTTCGTATTGTTAAATAATTCGTAATTTATGTGCGTAGAAAAAAATTAAATTTTGGTGTATAATACTTATAAAAAAAATAAGGACGATAAAATCGAAAAAAGAAATTTAAATTACCTAAGTAAAATATAGTTTACATATACTGCGCGCACATAAATAAGAGAGTAATCGGTTTTGAAATTACCTAAAGAAAATGAAGTTTTCTTAAGTATTGTTACAAGCAGAAGAAAATATTTAAGATCTTTAGAGATATTACTTTTATTTTATGTTTATTTGCTAATTTATTTATTTAAATTGATGAATTAAATGTGAAGGATTCAATAATCAGAAAAAAAATTTTCTTAATGAATTTAAACAAGTCAATTATAATTTTCTTTTAAATAATTTGGAGGATTAAAACAGTAAAAAAATGATCCTTTAAATTAAATTTCTCAAAAATTTCAATATCTTGATCAGGGATAAGTATGTTATGTTTTACTTAGTTAATGGTATCATAAAGGCAAAAGATTATAATGTTAATTCCGAAAGAACTGATATTTTCGCGTAAGTTTTACAAGTTAGTTGAAAAAAGAAAAATAATTAATAAAAAAGAATTGTTTTTAAGCGAGCTCGTCATGATTAAAAACCCAAAAACTTCATAAACCGAAACCAGATTTCCGTAAATCTCTAGGTTCGGCCTACAGTGGATCTAAAAATGTCATATTTTATTGTTGCATCCCCTAAGGTTAATAAGTTAACTAATAAATTAATCCCATTTTTAAGGACTTAGGGAAAGTCCAGAACTATTATTTCTTTTCATGTTACTTAACTGAGATTTCCTTTTAACTTTATAAATACATATAAAAAATCAAATTTCATACTCAAAATTTTTCCTATTTCCTTTTCTTTCATGTCCTCCCTCCCTTCTATTATAAAATCTATTTTTATTTATGTGGAATTCAAAACAGTTTTATGTTAATCCCGAGATAGAAGGATTTTACCGCGTAATTTCCAGAATAAAAGAATCGATCATTGTTTTTTTTTTTTAAGCTAGACGTGTATTTCTCATCTATAAGAAAGATTGCAAAAAAATCTAGTGAAAAATTAAAAAGTGAAAAAGGGTTTTTAGAAGCAAGCTTGTAATTAAAAATAACAAAACAAAACTAAACCCAGATTTATTTTATGTAAGAGAATTTTGATACTGAAATGGCTTCTAAAAAAAATTAAACTATTGTAATTAATTCCCCTAAAGGCAATTCCCGTTTTAATGTTGTTCGGAAAAGATAACATCTATTTTTTTTAATCTTTCAAGAAGATTCTTTTATACTACATTTACAAAATCAAAATACATTCTAACCTATAGTAGATGTTTCTGATTTTTTCAATTTACATTCTAGTATACGAAAAATAACTTTACTGCTCTCCTGATGGAGAGTAAGATTTTGAGTAAAAGAAAATTTCTCTGTTAAAAAAAACTCAACAGTCCTTTTTCTAAAATGGTAGATTGATTATTAATTATTCACCAAATATGTACATGACTAGAAATTGATAAAATAAATTTTTGAAGAGATATCGTAATGATTAGGTGTCCAGAGTTAAATGACTCTTTGAAAAAATTTCTTCTATTATATTAAATACCCCTAAAGGTTAATAATCTTATTCCCAATTTCAGAGTTTCGGGGATTCTAAAACTGCAATACTCTTCATTTTTATATTAACTAACAAGGAAATATGTAAATTAATATTTTAAATTTTATTTACTAATTCAAGTACAGCCTAATCTTGAGTTCTATATATTATTTTAAACTTTAAATAAGAATTGAATACTTTGTATTTCCTTTATTTATTTTCTCTTCCGACTTAATCTCTATTTTTGAAGTTTTTCTTTAAATTTGTATTCTAATAGTATTAGGAATTGACAGAACAGGAAAAAAATAAAAAGATGTTTTTAAGCGCTAATCATGATTAAAAAGGGAAAAAAAAACTTAGTCCGAAAATCAGATTATTCTTTTATGTTTATGTTGAATCCCCCTAAGGGTTAGTAAAATTATTTCCATTTTTCAGTTCTTCCGGAAAGTTAAAAATCCGATGCCTTTTTAGAATTAACACAGAAAATCCCTTTTAGTTTTATATAGAGAGTGAAAGCAATTCCTAACAGTGAAAGCAATTCCTAACAGATTTCTTTCTAAATTTTCCCATTTCCTTGTCATTTGTCTCTCTCGCTGACTTAAGTTGAATTTTTTAAATGTTTTACAGATCATCAGCTAAAAGTACCTTTCTCCTTTTTTACATTAAGATATTAAACATGTATGCTAGTTTTTTTTTTTTTTAAAAACGGAGAGAAAAAAATAATCTGACAAGGAAATGAGCTAAAAACGACAAAACAATAAAAATAAATAAATTTTTGAAGTGAGCTTGCCATAATTAAGAAAAAAAAGGAAGAACCCGAGAATTAGATTTCGGTCTATCTATAATGTAAAGAATCAACTGGCTTCGTGAAAAAATCATTCTCTTATATTTAATTCCCCTAAAGGTCAATAAAATTATCCTCATTTTCGGATCATTTGAAAAAACAATAACTCCTTAATACAAACTAAAATTTCCATATTTTACACAAAAATTTTTCTAAATCAGAGTACATTCTAATCTATAAAACTTATTCGATTATTCTCTCCTTGATTTTCTTTTATATTTTTCTTTCTGACTTAATCTATTTTTAGTTTTTAATCTCTTTTGTTTTTACGTTAAAAAAATTGTTTTAACAAAAAAATTGTTTTAAAGCCCATTAAGTAACAATAATAGAATTTTTTTTAAATAATCAGACCATATAAAAAAACTAGTAAAATATTCCGATAAAAACAATTTTTAATAATAAAAAAGAATATTCTGAATAATATCGAGTATTTTAATTTGTGGGTGTATTTGTGAATTTGAAGAAAAATATAAAGGATGAAATAGGATGAAATATGAAATTAACTATTAAATAACACATATTCAGTTAAATAACACGCATTTTGTTAAAATAACCTATATTTCATAAAATTATCTACATTCCATTTTTTTTAATTTCTTTTATTGGGCCTACAAATACCAAAATGAACTTTTATAAACTATTAACGAGATAGAAAGATAGAAGAAAAATAAATTAGAAAGTGATACTATGAATATTTTGATTAAGCAGTGAGAGAGAAGAAAAATATAGTTAATGCTATCTTTAATTTTCGCTAATAATATGAATCTTATTAGGAGAATAACTCTTTTAGAAGACATTTGCAGATGAAATTACCACAAAAATGCCAAATTTTGACAGGCGAATTGAAAGGGCCCTAATTCTAGTAAAACTAATTTTCACTCATTTGGATCTCATTTTGTCTGCAAATGTCTACCTTTGAAAGCTATAAATTTTTAAGGAAAAAAACAGATTGAATAAAAGATTTAAAATAAATTCATTTAAAAAGTTTATTTTATTATTTTTTATTTGACTCACCTTCTAACTGAATTATAAAGCAAACGCAGAAACTTCTCAGTAGACCAAACAAGTTGTCGATTCCCGAAGGATATTTGAGTAGAAGAGTTGAGAACCTGAAAAATCAAAAATTAGATTAATAATTTAAATTTTCTTTATCTAGATTAAAAACTTTCTAGTAAAAATATATTATTTTTTGGTCTATTTTTTTAACTCACAGTCCAGGTGTACCAACGAATGATCCAATCCCAACATTTGTTCTTCATATAATTCCTCAAAAATAACGAATAACATAACAGTTTGAAATAAACAATGGTTTGAAGTTGGTCACCAAAATGTCTGAAATATCAAAATATTAGAAATAGTATTTCTTTTCCGAAAAAATTTCTTTTGATAGATGGATCTTCTTTAAAATCTCGTTTTATTATCTTGTATTTAACTTACAATCAGAGAATTCCTCCCCTAAGGGTTTGTACTGCAACAATTAAACTTGAAATTGAATTTGCTGAAATTGAAATTTTATTTTTTTTTAATTTGTTGAAATTGATGTTTTAGTCGTTGAACAATTTCTGAAAAACAATATCAAAAATAAATAACAATACATACTTTTCAATTATAAAAATAAATAAAATAAAAATTCTCTTTTTTTTTTTTAATAAATAAAAATTTATAGATAAAATAATAATGAATCATAATCTCAGAGAAAGTTATTAATGTTAAAGTTCCATTAAATAAATTTTTTTTTAATAATGTGTGATTGAATTATTGTAATATGTGTGAATAGGCGAGAAGGAAAAAAAATTCTTTGATAATATTTGACCGGATGTTGGGAAAGAACTAAGTTGGGAAAGAATGTTTAAAAAAATATTTTATTTGTTAAAGTTGATAAAAAAATTATTTTATTGAGTTTGGAAATAAATGTAAGATTTAATAAAATATTGAAAATTTAACTTTTAATGAGGAAGAATATGAATATTGAAATTTAAATTATTTTTTAGATACCATATCTTCTTTCTTATATAAAATTTACAGTTTTATTAAGGTATTTTTTTTGTGTTCCCGAAGGATTTTTTTTAAAAGTTTTATTTTATATATTTATTTAGTTTTGTATATCTTTTCCCCGAAGGATTGATTTTTTTTTTAATTAAAATATAAATATTACTATTTTTTCTAATTTATTAAATTTATCTTATATTTATATATATATTTTTTTTTAACCCGAAGGTATTCAAATTAAATTATAATTATTTTTTTTTTATTAAATTAATTTTATATTATATATTCATTTTAACCCGAAGGTTAGGTCTTACGCGCTGCCTTATATATTTTTATTATTTTTATACCGGTTTACCTTATTATAATAATTATGCCCGGGCTTATACCTAGTTTCTCCTATAATTTTTCTCATCCCCTTGCTCCTCCGGCGAGAATCTTAGCCGGTGCTACCAGTAAAATAGAACTCTTCCCCTATTAACTATGCGCCGAAGCGGTGGGCCCTTTCCAGATATTATAGGATACAAGGGGAGAGGATGTGATCGGGACAACCCTAGAAGACCTTCGGGGTTGATCAAGTCCCTTAGACTCTTCCTAAACACCGAACACGCCAAAGTGGATTAAAGCGCTTTATTCACAAACTAGGAAATGTGGACAATAATATAATCGCTAGCTAGCACATAATAAATAATAATGTAATATACAACTGAACCGTGTATAACTGTTTGTAAATCGTTTAAATAAACATTTAAGTGGGAGGGACAAAAGCTAGTAAATTGGTTGAAATAATGTGAACGGAAATATGATCGAACAAAGTCCTTCGGGTAAAGTCTTTCCAAGCTCAATATTTCCTGGGAAAGGACATAAGAGTCCTACATTAAATAGATAATTGGAAAGCCAAATGTCAAAAACATATTGTACCAAAATGTTACTGGATTTATATAATCGTTAAGATTTACTGTCGATTCAATTGAATAGCTTTGATATCTTTAATTAATTCTTTCTATTTATTATAAAAACAATATCTAATTTATTAAGTGTTATCTTTTAATCTATATTCAGTTTCCAGGGTCTCAATATCTTGAATTTTATTTTGAATTTTTATTTTGATTTCTTATATTAATACTAGATGAGACGGGACTTGAGAACGGACAAGAATATAACCCGTTCCCAGCTCCACCTAGAAAAACAAAAAGTTTGGCAAACTCAATATTTTTCATCGAATATCTACAAAACTTTATGTTAAAAAATTAATTTAAAATATTTCTCACGGATTCATGAACCAATTCATATAAACACCATTGTAGAATGCAGGATTTACATAAAAGAAATAATAAAAAGAAAATATGATTGAAAACCCTATCCAAAAAGTAATACGTTTTCCTTTAAATTAAAACAATAAAAAATAAATGTGTGTAATTAGGATACCATTAAATAAAAATTCGCAAAGTTTTGGGGAAATAAAATCACAACAACGGTCTATAGCCAAAAATATATTTGCAGAAGTCTCCAATGCGAATAGTGCTTAATTATATATTATTAAAAGATTGAAACGATCCTAAATTGTTTCAAAAATTTTTTAGTCTCAATTCTGTTTCTTTTCATTAGAGTTATCCCCGACCCTGTTTTAATTAAACCTGCTCCAAAAGATCCTGTTACATAATTAAAATTATAATTTGGACAAAACATTTCTCCAGTAAAGCTATATACACCAGATTCTAATCCATGAAAAAGAAGCATTAGCATGTCCGATATTCCAATAAAAAAGAGCAGTTTATAACATGAATGTTCTGTGTGCTTGTAAATGGCAAATAGACAAGGTAAATAGAGAGCCTATTGATAAATTTATTAAAAAGGATAATTTATGGATAATTAAGGATATTTGGTGAGGGGGGGGGTTTGAATGTTGTATAAAAGTTTATTACAGACCTTTATTTCCATTATTTTATCAAATTGAAAAATTGTTTCGAATAAAATTTTTTTAATTCGATGTTTTTTCTACCAGATAAGAATTATTTACATATTTACCTCGAAAATTACAAAAAGCCCTATAATAATTGTCCCATTCAAAGGATGATAACGTTCAACAAAAGGTACATCCTCAACATTAATTCGATTACAATTGTAAAATTTTTCCCATTCCGCTCGGCGTAAAAGATAAATTTCCATTTCTAATGGATATATGACTTATTGTTAGTATTATAAAAAATAAATTTTCGAAAACTTAATGACTCGTTGAATTAATTTACTTAAATACTACAAGAAATTTCATTTAATGTTGCGTGATAAATGTAAAAATTTAAATTAAATAATAACAATATTTCCGTGCAATTCTTATTTTTTAGAAAAATTTTAATAAAAATATTAAGCCAAATCTAATCTTGATGAAACAGACAATTGAAACAGTTAATTTTTTAGTGAAATAATGAAAGTATGTAAGTGGAAATTGTGTTTAGATTTCGTGAAAATTAAAATTTTGAGCTTAAAAACTTTACTTTTCTAGTCTACATATGTTTCAGAAAAGTGCTTCGAAAGTACTGTAGAGGATTTCAACTAAAATTATTTCATAAATTATAGAAAGAGTTTAGCAAAAGTTTAACCTTGCTCACACAAGAGGTGCTCACCACTGAGCTACAGGGGCATCGACCAATGCTTTCTCTTTTATCCTTTTAGATCGTTTAACCCTCGCCTAAGCGTTAATGCTCTAGGTGAATCATTCTTGCATTACCTATTAAATATATAAATTATTCACTAATTTCAAAATTTCTCTCCTTATTCATTTCTAACCAAAAAAAAAATAAAAAAAAACAACCACGTGGTCCTCTTTGAATTGCCTATCAATTTATTAACAAAATTTATTGCTTTTTACATTTTCTTAGAGTTTGGGGAAACCGTTTAGGTGACTGTTTCTTCGAAAAATATTTTTACAAAATTGCCTTTTACTCTTTCTCTCTATATCTTATCTAATACTATATAGTTTGTTGATTGATATTTAATTAATTTATTTGTTTGTTTGTTCGAAAAATTAAATAAATTGTTAATTAATGAATATTCTTTGAATATTAATTACTTTAAATATAGTTTTAATTTGAATATTTTTAGATATAATATTATAGTAGCTAAATTAAATTAAATAATTAGACTCTTGCCCGGATTTACTACACAGCGGCCTTTGGTTTGATTTTGTAACGAAAAGAAAAAAAGCGGTGATTAAATTTAGGAATGAATATATTCAGTGGAGAGATTGTTTCTTAGAGGGCAGTCGAGTTTATAGGATAAACATATCAGTATGCCACTTCTTCCATTTCTGTTCTCCCTAAATAACGGGTTTCGAAATGAAAAAATTTCTCATTTTGCTGCTGAAGATATTTGCTAGAAATCATTTACATCTTCAAACTCTTGGAAAAAACTTGTATCAACAAGAGAACTAAACCCTAACAATAGCAACACAAAGCCACACAGAGATATCTTCCTCTTCTAAGATATGTAGAAAAATGAATAAAAATTTCGCCTTTCACCTTATTCCGTCTATTTTGAGAATTCCGTTTTCATCTTCCATCTCCAAATTTTTAATTCTATTCTGAATCTTCAGTTTTTACTTTTTTTAGAAAAAGTTTGAAATAGACATGATATTTACATATCCGGTTTTCTTCATTTACATTTTTGTGTTTTAACTTCCAAAAATTTTTACCAAAGATAAGTTGCAAAAATAAATTTACGTGGTTACTATATCTAAGCTAATAATTATTTAAATATCCAAATTATTCCAAATTAGATCCCTTAACAATTATTGATAAAAATTAAAATACTAATTATTACCTTTTAAATTTTAATTTAGATATTTCCAAAATTTAAGACGTGTTAAAATTTCTATTTTAGGAATTAAACAATAATTGCCAATAAGTAAACGTCAGTTAAAAATTAAATACCGTGTACAATTAAAATGCTTCCAAATTGAAAATGTTTAGCATTTAAAAATTTTTTTGTCTATCATTTTAAGAAGGAGAAAATTAAATTACTTTTACAAGATATTAAAGATTAATTTTAAAATTTAAAATTTTCTCGTGACATATGTATGATGTTTTATTTTATTTAATAATTTAAGCTATAAAATTTAACAGGTATTGTTGGATATAAACATTATTTTGAGCTTTTTTGGGGGCATTCTCTAGATTTTTACTCTAAATTTTCGAGACAAAATTTTAATCTAGCCTGGATAATGTTTAAACTGAATTTTAAGGCAGAACTAGAAGAACTACTATACAACATTTACTTGATTAATTAATTCCCTACTTCGAATAATTTCAAATCATAGGGATGAGTTCTAAAAATAATTCCCCAATAATCCCCCTTTACCTATTCTAATTTCTAGGAATAAATTGTGTAAATAAGGTATACTTGTAGAATTTGTTAAACAAAACGAAGCTATTTTAGAGTCAAGTAAAGATCCTTTCAAGTTTTCAATTTTCTTTTCGTTTCCTAGATTTTAGACCGTTAGTATTTTTATTACGATAACAACAATTATTAAATTTATCTCTCAATAGGTATTTTAAAATAAGGAATGACTTACAATTAAAATGTTATCTGTTTCCTTTCTCATAATTTTCTCTTTTTAATTCTCCAAAGGGGTTGTATGTACTTTTTTTCTAAATTTTTATTTTAATTACTTTCTGTCACACCGTTTCAACGAAATTCGATACAAATATTTTTGTTTATCGTCAACACTTTACAAATAATTTATCCCGTCCCAACAATTTCTTCAACAATTTTTTTACTTTTTTCCGACCACGCGGTGTATAATTAATAAAAGAGAGAGAGGTAATTATTATTTAAACATTACCTGCTTCTTTTAAATATTTCTAAATTAACGTAATTCCCGCCCCTTTAATTTAAATAATATTGCAAAAATAACATTAAAATATAGACAATATAAACACGCAAAAGTCTGCCATATGAAAATTAATATATTTTTATTTAAAAACAAAATATAAAGCTTATTCTTGTTTATTAAAATGTTAGCTTAGGTAAAAATATTTTTATTAATGTTATTTTAATTTTTAATTGTCCACTACTTTTTACATAAATTAAAAAATACCTCTATGGTTTTAACTTCTCTAATTTTTTCAAATTTGAGAAAAAAAATTTTCAAAAGCAAATTTTTCAAAAATTACAAAAAAATTTTTTTTCGTATATTATTTTATTTTGCAGAAATCCTAAAAATTTTTTAAATTTTTCTGAAAAATTTTCTGAAATAATATTTAAATTCTCTTGGTTATTAATGCCAAAATCTGTGTGCTTTAATTTAGTTAAAATTATTTTTAAATTAAATTTAAATTTTATTAAATTTAATTTAAATTTGTCATCATAAAATTATTAGAGATTTATATTAAAGTTACCTTATTTATTGGCTATAGTTGTTAATTTTAATCAAAAATTGGTCTATTAACAATAATTAAATTTTAAATTTTTTTACTTTATAAAAATTTAACTAAAATTATCTGGCAATTTTCTGTTGAATCCCGACAATTAAAATATACGTAATTATTGTGGCATTAAAAATTAAATAAATTTTTAATCAAACAATTATTTTCAAATATTTAAATAAATTTGTTAAAAATAATTTTTAGATTATTTAATAAGTAAAAAAAAATAAAAAAATTTAAAATAACCATCACTTACTTATAAATTACCAAAAAAATGTTTATATTTATTTTACAAAATTATCTTCAACTACTAACAAACAACGGAAATAGTAATAAATTAATTAGAGGCACGAGGTTTATTTTATGGTTATTGGCCGCATCTTTTCTTTTTCTGATAATTATTGCTGTTAAACATTCTGATGCAAAACCTTTGGTTGGCAACAATTTTTACAATTTTGCTGAACAAAGTTTGGGTAAATTAATTTAGATTTTTTGTGAAATTCAAAAAAATTGAAAAATATTTTAATTTTTTGTATTTGTTGTTTACTATTTTTCATTCTCACAAAAACATAATAAAACCTGATTAACAAAAATATTTCTTTTGTAAACAATTTTTTTAGATTCTAAACAAAAATAGAAAAATAAAAATTATCTATTTATTTGCCAATTTATTGATAACCAAATACCTAATATTTTATATCATTTACCAAAAAAATAATATAAAAATAAACCAAAAATCGTTAAAAAAAATATTTTTATTTTAAATTTTCACTGACGAATTTTTAATTTTCAGATAAACGAGAACCTAATAAAATGTTGCACAGACGTGAGTTAAGTGGATTAAAACGTCTGATAGACGAAATTGTACGTTCTGGATATGATGGGGGTGCTGCTTTTCGTCCAGGAAAATAAATTATTTTTTTGAAGAAAAAAAGTAATTAATGTCTAGAAATTAAATAAAAATAAATTAAAATAAATTAATTATAAATATATATTTAGTTTATAATAATTAATAAATAGAAAATTAGTTTTTTAAAATAATTTAAATACGCACTCATTTTAATCAAAACAAATACATTTGTATTTATTTTAAAATTTTATTTATAATAAAGAAATCTCATTCATTAAATCTCCATTTTATTAATTTAATGAAAACAATCCCAATTATTTTATAAATTGTATTTTTTACTATCAATTTTCATTTAAATATTATTTATTATATATTTATTTTTATGATATTTATGTTTGATAAATATTTTTTAATAAATTTAATTCTAAAAAATTGGCATAAAAATGATTTAAAATAATTAATATAGTACCGAAATTACCAAAAATTTTTACTAAAATATAAACTCGTGCCGTTGTACAAAAAAAATAGTATAGGCCCAATAAAACCGATTAAGTAAAATATTTTCAGATACATATTATTAGGGCTCGGATTTGTATTGAAATATATTTTTTTTTCCTGAATATATTATGGCGAGAGAAGCACAAATATGCCATTAGTTTTTTGATATTATGATTTTGAACGAAGTTACATTTCAATATATTTCAATATTTTGCCAATTTCCCCATTATTTCAATATTTGGCAATTTTTTCAAATTATTTCAATATTTTTGTATATTTTTACCAAAATTTAGGGATTTTTTATAAATTTTAGGAAAAAATTGAAGAAATCTGGCCGCCTGACAACCAAAAATTTCAAAATTTTTGCCTGCGGCGCTAAAAATGGAAAAATTTGGCTTCTTGGTCTTTCAAAATTCTCAGAATTTTCGCCTGCGGCGCTGAAAAGAAGATATTACGGCCTATTATTCACTACAGTACCGTTGCCTTCCCACTAATTATTTCCGAGACATTCTTAGTAACATTCTTCGTAACCTAAAACTTTGCAAAACCTCAAAATTTGTTAAGCAAAACCTCAAAAATGGACATTGAGCAAAACCCACTAAATGTCCCAACCTCATTTTTTCAATCGCAAAATGTCCAAGAGCGTAAAGTAACTCAATTCGTCGGGTTATAAAGCTAATGTGAAATTTTATAAACATGATTCGTTTTTTTGTTAAATTTCAACTTTTTTGGGGGTTTTTCTAGTGACTAAACGAAAATTTATTTCAATATTTCACTAATTTTTGGCATTTTTTGTCAATATTTTGCCCACTTATTTCAATATTTTATGGCCATATTTTGCGATTTTATTTCAATATAAATCCGAGCCCTACATATTATAGTTTAAGGAAGAAGTCAAATCCAGTTGCTAAACGAGGGTTTAGGATTTATTAAGTGTAGGTTAAAGCAGGCCCACTGTAGTTTAAGCTCAATCGGTAGATTGAGCTTAAACTAGTAATAATAGATGCCAAGAGGTAACATGAACGATGCCTGCATGAGGCCGCACATTTACTCCATCTATAACATACATTTGTATAAGAAGTACTTTTTAAATTCCATTTTACCAGAAAAATATTTAAAATTCTTAAAATAAATTTACTAATTATTTTAAAGCAATAAACAAAGTTTAGATTTTGTTTTTTGTTGTTTATTTCCATTCTTAATTTGATTTTCTGCCTTTTCTTTTTTACTTAATTTCTTTTTTGTCTTTTGTGGTAATGTGCCGTTTTGCTAAAATTTTTGAATTAATATTTCTTTAATTTTTTAAAAATATTTTTACCTGAAAATTATTATTATTATTTTCTCTATTATTTTCTTCAAATCCTCTATTGGATAAACTGTCATGTTCTGTCCCGTCTAAAGGATTTGTTTCATCTTGAATTATTGTTAATTCTTTTCTATCTACTGTTTTCTCATCTAAATCCGATAATTGGTCCGGGCATATATCACTATGAAGTTCCTTTGAAATTAAAACAAAAAAGGATTTTTAGAAATCAATATTAGATTTAAGTTAATAGAAGGGATTATAAAATGATATTAAATTTTCAACAAAAATTAAATTTAAATTTAAAAGAATTTAAAAATAAATGACATATTTATTATTAAAATCGGGGTATGAGACTTGAAATGCTTGGATTCTGGAAGCTTACAAATTTCATATTTAAATTACGAGTTTGTGTCGACTGATGGTTGAATAATGTTAACGGCACAGGGCCGAAAGAAGCCCAAATAAACGAGAATTCTCGGTTCGAATACCGGTTCGAACTATAACCAAGAAGCTGCCAATTTAAGTTTAGGCCTTACTTTTACATCAAAAAATTATTTTTTTACTAGACATTTTAATGTTCAATCTTAAAAATATTTTTTAGACCTGATAGCCATCAATACTTTGGTGTGCCTGTCTAGGTCTGTCACAAATTTCCCAAACACTTTTTCTATCATTTCTTTCCAAAAAATTGGTTCTCATCATTCCCTTTCCCTTAAATCAAATTAAATTGAATTATAAATTCCTTTCAAAGAAAACAAACTTTCATTTCAATATTTCCCCTTTCTGTAAATAAAAATGAAGGATTTGTTTTGATTGCCTGAGATCTAGCGGATTCGCTAACATGTATTTTCGAGGGAATTCCAGAGGATTCCATTCGATTAGCTAATTGTACTGTATCTCCAAATAAACAATATCTTTACATAATAAGTGATTTTTATTAGCATGTTTCAATTAAAAACAACTTGCCTTGGCATCTAAAAAATGATAAAAAATTGAAATTTATTTTAAATAATTTTGATTTTTAGAGACATTATTTTAAAAACATAAGCCTTTGATTTTTTTCGAAAATTAGATTGGAATAATCAACTTTTTAATGGACTATTACGAGTAAATAATTAATTTTTGAAAATTAAACGAAATAAAAAATGAGATAATCTCAAAAAGTTTTGTGTGTTTATTTTATTGTTATTTGTTTATTCTCAGAAATACCTTAACACCAACAACACCAGCTACAACAGAACCAGAATGCACCCCAATACGTATACGAATAGGTGTTTTTGTAATTGGATTGACAGCATAAAATAATTTTTTAATTTTATAATTAATTAATTTATTTATTTACATATCGAGATTCCATTAACATTCCGATAGAAACGTCAAGTACTTTTTCTGCATGATTTCTACGTTCACTTGGCACTCCACCAACAATCATATATGCATCGCCTTTTTTTAAATTATTAATAGAAAATAGGATTTTATTTTTTTAACGGGACGGTACGTGCTCCTTATCTATAACATAAAGATAATTTTGTTTAGACGTACTGAGTCTAAAAAATCTCGAAAATTGGATTTTAAGCAAAATTATAGCTTGCGATTCATCAAGTGTGGAAATGAAAATTTTATTGAAAATTTTGCTCTTTAATTGTTCAGTTGTCTGTCTAAAAAATTTAATTAAAAAACTCACCAATAGTTTCCACTTTATAAACATCGTGAATTCCAACAATTCGATCAAATCGTTGATACAAATCATTTAATAGATTAACTACATCCTTTACATATAAAGTTCAGTTAATTTTAATTAAATTAAACAAACATATGGAGTACATAATGAACAGATATTGGTGAATGTAACAATCTAAATATGTTTTTGAACAATTAAAAATTAAATTTTAAGAGTAATCTTTAAAAAATCATAAGCTTTCGCGTCTGGTACACGTTTTAAATGGATCTCAATAGCTTGATCTCCCTTTCCTTACTAAATTATATACCTGAATTTAAAAACTTCGTTGTATTCTTTAAAAATTTTTTATTTTCAATAGTTTTCATGAAAATAAAATCTTTAAAACTTAAAACTAATATTCTTTTTTATTATTTATTTATATCAAATTTAATTTAGATAAATTAATTAATAACTAATTAATACATAAAATATTTAATAAATTCAAGATTAATTAAACTTACATCAGTAAAAAGAATTGTCGCCTCGGGGAATTCACTAGCCTCAACAGTATTCCCCTGTCTGAGAGATTCAGCCACACTTGGAGGCATTAATTCACAAAGTAGTTCCTACAAGATTACATTAAACTTAAATATAATTTTATTTAAACATCGGTTCGTTGTTTTTCTGTTTTTAATGCATTTGCCATACATTTTAAATTTCTGGTTGTTTCTTCTAAATTCCGACTTTAAAATAAAAAAATTACAATTTAATTAAAAATTCTTTAATAATCTTACTTTAATTCAACTTGAGACATTCTTGACTGGTTCAACATTATTAAATCTCGAGTGCTATCGTGACCTTTTTATAAATAAATTTTAAAGTTTTTAAATAATTTATTAAATTTTGATACTAATTTTTTGTAAATTTTAAAATATAAATACGTTGAATATCCGAAAGGAAGAGATTCCGCTCAATTAGTTCTCTTAAATTCATAAGAATATTAGAAAAATTTTTAGTTTTTATTTGTTGCCTTATAGTTGTTACATTAAGAGAGCACATATAAACCATATATTTATTCTCTGCCACTAAATGCATTGAACCTATAAAATTAAGAAAAAAAGACTTTTAATTATACTTTGAATTTAAAAAATAAACTTTTGGATACCCTTTATTGTTATTGCCATTTGTTGACTCTTAACTTCATCTGATCTGCAGCTGCTAGGCTTTGAACTTCCCTGACTTAATTCATCACGAAGACGGAAAACAAAAAGACTTTAAATATTTGTTAAAAAGAAATAATTTTTTAAAATTTATTTTCACCTATTTCTGAACGCCATTATTGAATCGAACGATAGAGGAATTTCTGGATGGACTCTGAAAAAATAAAATATTTTTTTGTAATTTTATAAAAAATAAAACAATTCAAGTATGTCTTCAACACGTGTTTCGCCTCTTTGAATTAATGGGAATAGCCGTCGAATATAAATACCTATTGTTGAAAAAACATTTTCTCATATTGAAATTAATTAAAGTAAAAAGATTTTAAAACTTGCCAACATGTTCGATACGTAA